TTTAAGATCCCAGTCGCTACTCGCCAAAGTAGGAGGTGGAACAATGTTTTGTATAGTATGTTATGCCAATTGAGCTTGATGTCCCCTGCGACTATGTGGACCATCTTTTTATACTTCCTCCAGAATACTGGAAGTTTTAATGCTGTTATGATATACTTAAATACCTAAAAATACTATGATTTATAAAACAGACAGGTTAGAGATGATCATTTGATTAATAAGCTAAATCATAGATTAGTTCTAATTATTTATAAAGTACTAATTATTATTTTTACAAGTGTGGTGGGATGAAAGAGCCTATGAAAAAGAAACAAATTACATACTCAAAAGAAATAGTGTGTGTAAGTTTGGCACCATCTCTAGCACAGAGTTTAATAAATGTTCAGTAAAGGCTCAGTGTGTGATTTTTTCAGGCACGCTACTAAACTGGAAAGTAAGGAGATTGTGGTGGTTATGTTGTGTGTCAACTTGGCTGGGCCTGGTTGAGTGGCTGGGCAGCTGGTGGTAGTTAATGCACATGAGGAGACTGGCAATCAATTCCATGTGGATCTACCACAACCAGCTGAACCTTTGGGATGTGGTCTGCTTCCTGTATATAAGGAGAAGCCTTGGGAATGTTTCTAGCTTATGGCATGCTTGGACCCTGTCCGTGGTTGTGTTGTTGTTCAGCAGCCTGCCATGCTATGCCCACCTTGGGACTTACAATGAACTTGAACTAATGGCTTGCCGTGTGGTTTGGTAACATTGGGACTGGGCATTTTGACTAGTCAAACTTGGAGCTTCTCAGCTTCAGCAACCAGCAGCTGTCTGAGAGAAGAAACACCTCTAGCTCCAGTGGGCCAGGAGCAGAAGGCAGAGCTTGACTCCAAGGATGAGGCAGTTTCACCCAGCCCCTAGAGCCTGGCACTTTGAACTGGACTTAAAGCCTCCAAACTGTAAGAGAATAAACTCCTGTTTGTTAAGGCCATCCCAGTTGTGGTATATTCCTGTCAGAGTGGCACTAGGTAACCAGAACAGAGATCTTATCATTTTACCAATGATGCTTATGACATTTTAAAAAATTATGCTCACAAGATACCTATTCTTGTAGTATTTTACACATGTTTCAAAATTGTTTTTGTTATCTGGAGATTGTAATACTCTTTTGAGTGTGCATCCTCATAACCAAAAAAAAAAAGAAAGAAAGAAAGAAAACCAAACTCACTGCTCACTGTCATCAAGTTGTTTCTGACTCATAGCGACCCCTCCCTGGGTTTTGGAGGCAGTATCTCTACAAAAGTAGATCACCCAATTGCCCTTCCGAGGAGTAGCCGGTGGGTTTGAACCACCAGCCTTCTGGTTAGCAGTCAAATGCCTTAGGCACTATGCCACCAGAGCTCCAAACTGGTAAATTAATGGGAAAAGAAATCACATTATGGTATTATAATTTCAGATTAAGGAACTGATCATAAACAATATAATAATAAACTGACTGATAAAGAAAAGAAGGAGCATTTTAAGAAGAATGTAAGGCGCCAGTTGATGGATGTGGAGGGGGTAGTCTGCAATCTCTGAGTCACTTATCTTTGTCATGGTTGAAGGACAGGAACTTTATCATTTCATAGTACCTCGACTTCATCTGGCTTTCTCCTCACTATACATACTCTTCTGGACATACTCTCCTCAGAATCCTACCCCTGAAACATCTGGAGGTAGCTCTTTTTTTCTTAATTCTAAATGTTAATGGCTTTAATCCCTGATAATCTCTTTGACAAAACAGTAATAATTTCTTAGGGTTTATTCTGGAATTAGGTTTTAGGATGAATATTAAGGATGGAAGTTCAATTAGAACTACCATTTATGTACCAGCAGCCCTCTAATTCAAGCAAAACAACAAAAAAAATTATCATCCCAGTGACTTCACATTAAAGTTGACTGAGCATAATTAATACTAGCCATGTATTGAAACACATTCGTTGTATTCTACAGCAAAAGGGTCTTTCATTTGTATGTAATTACTATTGTAACAGCAGAAAACTTGGCTCATTCACTGGTGTACTGTGCAGAAGACAGCATAGTAGGTTATCCTTAGCAAGGACAGCCTTTGGCTAGTGTCTGGGAACCACTTTCCTCCAGACTTTGCTCCACATGCCTTTTCTCTTGGCTGATTTTGCTTTCTGTTCTTTTGCTATAATAAATGTTAGCTATGAGTACGATTATATGCTGAGTCCTACAAGTCCTAGAGAATAGCAAACCTACAGGTGGTCTTGGGGACCCTCAACACAATAATCTCCCTAAACTCATCCTCCAATTACAGCTCATGTCTAGATAAAGATGGCAGGATTAGGGAAAGAAAGGGAATGAAACTGGATTCTTATATAGGTAGAGAAACTTTGGCTTGGAAACTGAATGTAGCCCTCTGTTTTCAACCAGGCTATGAACTAGGCAAAGAGCTATACATTTCCATTAAAAAAAAAAAAAAAAATACTACTGGTTGAGAAAATAAAACATTGTATAAGATCTTTATTGTCTATATTCTAAAATGTCACACTGCCATACCATCTCAGAGGTCATTTTAATCAAAGCCTTAGTTCAGAACTTACGAATTCTGGTTTTAAAACTCCTAGTAATGGGCTATCAGTCTGAGCATGTTCAGTAATGGGAAAACACATTCTTCTCAAGGCAGTTTTCCTTTGACCTCCTGGTTCTAAAGGACTGAACTGGAAGCTGTCTCCCTACACCTACAAATCCTTGATTTCAATTCTCCTGTCTGGAGTCTCACAGAATGAGTATAGTATCTCTCAATGAAAACCATTTTCTCTTTGCCAGTCTATGTCCTTTCTATTTGACTTTGTGTGTATTTTTGTCTCCTGGCACCTCTCTCTTTTTTGTGATATGTCAATCCTTTTGAGTATCTTTCCCAATGTCTTTCACCTGGTTATAATAATGACTAAAATATATCTAATTGCTTTTTGTATTTACTGAGTATTTAATGAATAAACAATAATTTTTTGTGTGTGCAAGTCAGAGGTTCTTCACATGGAAAGGTTCTGTAGCCTTACTCTTACTGGATAAAAGTGTCAACTTTATCTACCTCAGATGTCTAATAGTGGAAAGGAAGAATTTTTCATAAAACTGCAACTAGAAGAAAAGAGCTTGATATGTTTTAGAGCTTCCTTGAACAGAATTTTCAACATCTTGTTTATTCTATTTTTAGTACAACTATAGAACCTACTCACCCAGTGGTAGAGCTTGAGTCAGGTTAGAAACTGGAGGATCTGTTTCTGGAGGACAGAGCTCACAGAAGTCCCAGCACGATGGGCACAGCAGGTTTCCACCATGAATCCAGCCATTCATCTGAATACTGACAGGGAGGACCTGTCCTGCCCGACTACACAAATATGAAGTATCCTGGACCCAAACCTTCAGACCTTGAGGAGAACAAGAAACCTTCAAACAGAAAAGGAAAAAAAAAAAGAAAAAATCAAGTCAGTGAGATCCTAGGAAATGAGATTTCATTGTCAACTGCAGGAATATACAATGTTGTTGTTATGTGCCGTCGAGTCATCTCTGACTCATAGCGACCCCTCCTTGGGTTTCTGAGGCAGTATCACTATGGAAGTAGATTGCCCAACCTTCTTTCAGAGGAGTAGCTGGTGGGTTTGAACCGCCACCCTTCTGGTTAGCAGTCAAGTGCCTTAGGCAAACATACATGTGATGTAGGCATATCTTTGACCTTAGATAAAGATAAGTTATTCAGGTTCTAAAAGAATTTCACTTGGTTGTAATAGTTGTTAAATTCTGAGTCTAATAATTTTTAAAGAAACTGATGAAAGTTATAAACATTTTTCCTGAAAGATACAAGGCAGCACACAGCTTTATATATAAATTTGGATTCACAGACCCCTGAAGCCAAGTTATTAAGAATAACATTTCTGTACATTCCAGCACCTTCATTTACTTCAGCTTAAATCTCATCAAAGAGCACCAGTTATGTCACTCTCTCTAAAAGTCATTAAATTGTTAAGTCAAAATTTTATTATTTTTTTAAATTATAAAAACTCTATTTGCTCACTGTAAAAACAAAAAAAATGGCATACAGCATAGAAATGTACATAGTTGAAGTTCCCCATTGTCTCTCCCTACCCCAGATCCTTTGCTGAGAGGTAACAGTCACAGGGATTTTAACCAGACTGGTAACACCGTTACAGGCAGGACTCACATGCAAGGTATAGTTGATGAATTCAGTTCTTAAAAACACCTCAGAAATAACTTTAAAAATACATAGAATGACTGTCTTCTTCAAAGTTGTTTTCTACAAAGATTTCAAACTAATTTCAATTAGGCTACCTTTACTTTAAATATTTCTGGAACTTCTGGAACTACTTTCAAGACCAATGCATTCTTCTGAATATGTTCGATAGAGGCACATTTGAATCCCTTCCATGTAGATTTAATTTTTGGAAATAGCCCAATGTAGCCCAGAACAAAATCTGGTAAACTCATTGTAAGTTGACTAAACTCAGTGTAAGTTTGTCCTTAGCTTTTTGCAGAGTAGATGCATGAGAGAGAGCAAGCACAGATAGAGGAAGACAGATGCCATGCCACCTGAAGAAAACCAAGGGACTGAGGGACAGAAGCTGAAAACAGAAAAGGATCCCTCCCCAAAACTGAGAGAGAGTTAAGTCTTTCCCGACAGCCAGCACCCTCAATTTGGACTTCTAGTCTTCTAAACTGTGAGAAAATAAACTTCTGTTCATTAAAGGCACCCACTTGTGGTATTTCTGTTATAGCAGCACTAGAGAACTAAGACACTGGTTAACACAGGTTAACATAGGTATGATGCAAATACTAAGATCAATTTTCTTGGATAGCTATTAAACTATTTTCTATAGCAATTTCAAAAGAAGACATCCAAAAGTATATCTGAATAGTCATTTTTGAAATAATTCCATCATCAATTAAGTTGAACTGTGACACTCATTTGGAAATTAAAGTTATAATAATAATAATTAGCAAGAACACACTAATAACAAAGTGTGACCTTATGTATTTCCACAGTCAATGCCCACATCCATAAGTATCACCACATCTAACACTGTAATGTAACCATTCTTTTAAGAATTGATTGATGTCTTGGTGCTAAAAATGACACCAAAGAAGTCTATGACACAATGCCTACCCTCTTACAAATTTAGATGAGGACAGTGGAGTGAGATATAAACATATCCCCGCCCTTGCCACCAAAAAAAAAAAAAAAAAATGAACAGTGTTATACTGTTTCATGACAACAGTCAATAAATGGTAGCAACAAGAGCAAAAAAGGGATCAAATAGTAAAGC